CACATTTCTTCGATTGGTTGAAATACTACAGATATCTCAGTCTAGACATAACGGAAGTGGTTTTTATGAGAAAGGAATAAATCGTGATTTACTGACCAACGTGAAGCCTGGCAGTTCCGCTTAGTGGTACAAGCCTTGCATTGCTATTTCCTGGACGAATCCGTCGTCCGCTTATGACGGCCTGAAGTTTTGAAATTTTTTTCAGAAAAAGGGGCATATAAAAGTAAGTTTGTGAATTTAGCCTTACCCTTGGTAGATCAATGGTGGCTGCAGCTGGATGTTCTTCGATGAGATCAACCTAAAAAATCTGAATAAGAGCCAGAATTATTTAAACTGGAACTTCTACCGCTTCTTGTTGTTTCAGCTGAGCAATTAGTCGTTCTAGATCGACCTCGGCTTGTCTGGATAAATCATAATCCTTCTCTACGTTCTTCTTTTTTGAAATGGCAATTTTCTGAAAGAGCAAAAATGGATTTATTAGTAGCCGAAATACCAGACTCAGAGAGTGACTGTCAAACAAAAAGTATAGCTTGTTTTCGACTTGATTTTGTCTACCCTAAACCTACCGTGTCCCTAACTTGGTGGAATAAAAAAAATTCTCCTAGAAATTGGAGCGCAAACAGTCTCAACTGAGAGAATATTCATAATTACGGTCATGGCCATAGTTCGATTTTTTTTCAAAATAGAAGGTGGGACACTGTAAGCAACAAAATTCCTCACCAGCATATTTTTCTCTGGCCTTTGCGTAGGCATTTGCATTTCTGTTTCCTCCGTTGTTGTGCGAATAGGTGCCATCGTTGGCATCGTTTCTACCATGTCCTCAGTGGTGGTAGTGATGGCTTGAGTGGTAGCTTCCATTGACTCTAGGGTAGGTTCTCGTTCTACAGATGCGGAATCGCCAACAGTTTCTACGCCAATCGTGCTTGCTGGCACGAGTACCGGTGGTGTGAATCGTCTAGTAGTGAAACTTTCCGTGTTTGGAGAGTTTATTTCCGCCTCACCGCTCTAGAATTTTAGCATTGCTGATGACATATTGGATTTCTGAGTTCAATGACGCTTTAACGTCTATCAAACACTTTTTATGCAAAATAT